TGGTTGTCTTCAAGACGCACGTGCGTGCCTACAACTGATCCAATGCACAGCTGATCTGATCATTGGTCCATTGTTCCACCGCTTGGAAATGAGCTTGTTCCCTGAATAACATGAATTCGGGACAGCCGATAATACAGCTCCTATTCTATTTTACTCCCTAGGGTAGACACATAGATCAGGACCTGGAACTCTTGGTGTTTTGGTAATGATCCAAGTATCACCTACCGACCACAGACCAGCGCTTATGTTCCATGGTCGGTTCTGAATCACATTTTATGATGACGATGATGAAGATCTAAAATGGATTTTAACAGAAATACTATCTCCGTAAAAGTTAAAAGTATTGTGTAATGATAAAAACTGCTTTTTCCCTGTAATTTTCAGATTAATAAAATATCAACTATGTAACCAAGAAAATCGTGGGATTTGATAAAAGATAAGCATCCTTATCGCTCTAAAATCAACCCAGCATAAAACGGCATGAAATATGCGTGTCCAATTAATGTAATATCACAATGCTGGCAAGCATAACCGTTGCCCTTATATTCACAACACTATTTACCCCCTATACTATTATATCCCCTTTATTGTTTTCCAGGCATTAAGACTCATCGAAAGTAGTTCAGCAGGTATATTTAAGTTCAAAACATTCTAATTCAATGTTAAAGATGACAGGAATAAGAAATAGTTATGTGGAGGTTCTTAAGAAATTTGCGCAAAATACGCGCCAGCATGTTATACGAAATTAGGTAAAAAACCCAAAATCGCCATATTCAGGTGCCTTAAAAACCATGTTAAAATTAAGTTAGAGATCTGAAACTTTGCAGGGCGTCTAGACCTCGTCCAAATCGACTGTAAAAAAATTTTCATGTTTCAGCAGTATCGGGAAGTGGGTTTTCTGGAACCCCTGTTTTACAACAGATTGTCGTGAAGTATATAACATATAATATGTATAGACGCTTTGGCAGTAAATTGTAGCCTACATTTAAGTGTCCGTAGATTCAAAAGTATAAAAGATACAGTCATCTCGAACCACAGGTTTTAAAGATAATCGTTTAAACTTTAGTTTACATTGTATTGAAAAATAATTTAACGTCATCATCATCACTTGATGACGTCATCAAATTAAGTGTTTTTAAAACTTGATTTTTGACAAAGTAACAACTTTTCAAATCGATTTTACACCATTAAGGAGTAATTTTATTCAAAAGTTGAGGACATTTTCACCTTAGATAATTGTTCAAGCATTCCGAAAATCTACCGGAAAATTTTCCTACCTTGCTCCTTCATAAAGATATTTGCTATTGAAGTTAGTGCTTTTTTGAAGAATAATTTTATAAAAACACAAAAGTTGTGAATTAGTATTCTCTGGTGTTGGGCCATCCCTTGGGTTGTGGAGCTCAATTTTGCTTTTTAAAGGTCTAAATTGTGTTATAAGCTAGTTTTAAAGTTAAAAATCGAAAAGTTGCACACGTGGGGACACGCCCAAATTCATTTAAAATAGCTAAAATCACTAAAAATTTTGATTTTCACGATTTTTATCAACTTTGGAGTCCCGTTGTGATCCAAGTTCTTTATGAAATCTTCTGAAACTTTGCATGCTTATCAAACTATATATTAAATACCACTATGCAAAAATTTACGGTGATTCAATATTGTATGCGCACGCAACGTCCGCTCAAAGTTTGCACGTGCGAAAGGTGAGAATTTTGCTCATTCGTGATTTCGAATATATTCTGCTTTCCACGATATTTAAATGGCATTATATATGAATTTAATGCCAACTTGAATGAGTTAAAAGTGCCATATTCAGTCGGTTATCGACAGATATACCTACCTAAACACAAGGAAACGTTTTCAAAGGCAGAATTTCGAAATCGTTGAAATTACCTCTTTATTAATGAAGTTTCTACTGTGTAAATTATCCTGACATTATAATCAAAAAGAGATGATATTTGACCAAAACCCATAATCATGGGTAGAGTGAACCGCTGCCAGTGTCTCTCTTTTCCAAACAAAAGGAAATGATATTAATTTGAGGAACCGTCCGCAAATGCAAATTGATACCGAGAATGAAATCGGTCGCTCGCTTTTCCCATTTAATAAGCTTTATTACAATTCGTAAGCCGTGAATGAATGGGAAAAGCGAGCGACCGATTTCATTCTCGGTATCAATTTGCATTTGCGGACGGTTCCTCAAATTAATATCATTTCCTTTTGTTTGGAAAAGAGAGACACTGGCAGCGGTTCACTCTACCCATGATTATGGGTTTTGGTCAAATATGAAATACAAATATAATATCATGAAAGTATTGCACATAATTCACTGCTATACTAAAATTGAAATTGTCAGATTATCATGTTCTATTCTGTCAATAAAATATATCATTGGAGCAATTTAAGACAGCTCTGGGATGAATGAATTATCGCTTAGGATACCCTGTCCCCTGATAAAGTAAAGACAAACACAGCACCATTTCCTCCGATACTAATAATAAGCACTTAGTTACAACTAGCAGTAGCATTACAACTAACATGCTGGTATATATCCTGTTCCACATACGACCCAGTGAGTGCGACCAGTGAGTGCGACCTGTGAGTGCGACCTGTGAGTGCGACCTGTGAGTGCGACAGCTGTGAGTGCGACAGCTGTGAGTCCGACCTGACTGTGCGACCTGTGAGTGCGACCTGTGAGTGCGACCTGTGAGTGCGACCTGTGAGTGCGACCTGTGAGTGCGACCTGTGAGTGCGACCTGTGAGTGCGACCTGTGAGTGTGCGACCGCTTATGCAACGCCTGAGAACATTCTATCTTTTCTCCACCTCAATTTGTCTCCTCCATTCAGGGACAGGGCATGGAGTTTTTTAGAAGTTTTTTCACTGGATTAAGAAGTCTCGACCACTCTCTATATAATACTGGGGAGGCCGTGGATTTCGTCTAGTACTAGTATAGTATAGTTCGTCTAGTACTAGTAGTATAGTTCGTCTAGTACTAGTAGTATAGTTCGTCTAGTACTAGTAGTATAGTAGACAGTAGAGTACTATATGTGATATAGATTATGGCCATGGATGATGATATTATTATTCCACTCCATCATGGAGAGCGTTTTAAAAAACCAATAAACGATCAGTTTCATAGTCTGCAATGTTCTCAAGAGAGTCGACTGTTCGTCTCCTATCAGTCCTCTGTAACTATAATGACTATGGTCCCTAGTAGGGACTCCCTACTAGGGACCTACTCCCCTGAATGACTTGGCCCTACACACTACCATGACTTACAATCGCTCACTTATATACTACCTACATGGTTTTTACGGTATAATCAGACAAGGATAGCTGACACATTTCATACATTATAGCCTTTTAATAGCTTGCAGGATGAACTATTATATATTATTTTTAATGTAGAACTATATTAAATCAAATGTATATCCGGGTCTACAATAAGGGTCCATAATTTCTAAATTGCACTGATTCATGCCTTTTTCTTTATCGGGAAAAAATCGCTAGCATATGGCCGGGCTGACAGAAGAACAAAGAATAACATGTCACGAGGTAGACCCCACGTGTCATGGTGCTCTCTTCGAATGGTAACTGGTAATTGTTGTCACGTGATACGCACGCGGTGGTCAGGTGTTTCGATAATGCGAGCTGGCATATCGAAGTGATCTTTTAACGCCTTACAAGGCAATCTACCGATCTGAGGACCATCTTTCCCGGGAATTTTGCGTGGCGCGCACCACGTGACTGAAAGCAGTAGTCACGTGACTAAAAGCAGTGGTCACGTGACTTGAAGGAGTGGTCACGTGGGCAGGTCGTGGCCAGTGGTTAGCCGGGAGGAGTCTACACTACTACAACGCGTACAGTGATAAAAGAAAGAGCCATCATTCTTGCTCCACAATTCTACCTAGATCTCGCAGATTTTGCTTACCGGTAAATCTTTCAAACAATCAACATGGATGATGATGTAGCTGCCCTGGTTGTGGACAATGGGTCCGGTATGGTAAAAGCCGGCTTTGCCGGAGACGACGCTCCCCGAGCTGTCTTCCCTTCCATCGTTGGACGTCCACGTCATCAGGGTGTCATGGTCGGCATGGGACAGAAGGACTCCTACGTAGGAGACGAAGCCCAGAGCAAGAGAGGTATCCTCACCCTGAAATACCCCATCGAGCATGGAATCGTCACCAACTGGGATGATATGGAGAAGGTTTGTCATTCACTTGTCATCACTTTCTTTTTAGTTCCTATTTTTCTGATATTCTAATCCGTTCCGCATCCATTCAACTGTTTTCATGCAACACCTGTCAACCCTCAAGTCAGCTTTCATTATCACTGTTTCAACACTGTTCAACACTGTTTCAACATAATACTTAACATCTGTCACTCTCTCAGATCTGGCATCACACCTTCTACAACGAGCTGAGAGTTGCTCCCGAGGAACACCCCGTCCTTCTGACCGAGGCTCCCCTCAACCCTAAGGCCAACAGAGAGAAGATGACCCAGATCATGTTCGAGACTTTCAACACCCCTGCCATGTACGTTGCTATCCAGGCTGTCCTGTCTCTGTACGCTTCTGGCCGAACAACTGGTATCGTCATGGATTCAGGAGATGGTGTCTCTCACACAGTCCCAATCTATGAAGGTGAGTCCAAAGTTGTTCATAATAACTTGCTGATGTGATTGTTATGGTGATATTTTTCTAGTTTAACTCTACTCCAATCTGATACATGATCCCCTTTCGTCATTGTCAATTCTTACAAAATATGTCCATTGAGTCTAAAAACTAAACTCTCAGGTTATGCCCTCCCCCACGCCATCCTCCGTCTGGATCTAGCTGGACGTGATCTGACTGACTACCTCATGAAGATCCTGACAGAGAGAGGTTATGCTTTCACCACCACTGCTGAGAGGGAAATCGTCCGAGATGTCAAGGTACGTTTTATATCCTGAGTTCTTGCCGTTTGTTTTTATCATACTTTACACAATTAGATTACAGCATGTAAAATAATTTGTCTAATAAAGTTGAACTTATTTCCTAAATATAGCAACAATATAACAAAAACTTTGCGTGGGGAAATGGCCTCCTCTTAAATTGGTCTGCGTAGGACTGTAGGAGTTCACTAATACTCAGTTTCAAACACTCCTCACTTAACATCTCATATTTTCAGGAGAAACTGTGCTACGTTGCTCTTGATTTTGAGCAGGAAATGCAGACCTGCTGCAGGCTCCAGCTCACTCGAGAAGTCCTACGAGCTCCCTGACGGACAGGTCATCACCATCGGAAACGAGAGGTTCAGGTGCCCTGAGACCCTCTTCCAGCCTTCATTCGTCGGTAAGAACATATTCTACATTCTTGTTAAGGAAAAAGCTGTTCAATTCACAGTAAAATGAATCTCCTCGCTCTTCTTGGTTAGCTGTAATTCCGTGATGTTAATGGGACTTATAGTTCATTGTAGGTATCTTACTTTTAATTTAATTAATTGACTAAATTCCCCTTTCTTCTCAGGTATGGAATCTGCCGGAATCCACGAGACTTGCTACAACTCTATCATGAAGTGCGATGTTGACATCAGGAAGGATCTGTACGCCAACACTGTCCTCTCCGGAGGTACCACCATGTTCCCTGGTATCGCTGACAGGATGCAGAAGGAGATCACCGCCTTGGCTCCACCCACCATGAAGATCAAGATCATTGCTCCTCCAGAGAGGAAATACTCTGTCTGGATCGGAGGATCCATCCTTGCTTCTCTGTCTACCTTCCAACAGATGTGGATCTCGAAGCAGGAATACGACGAATCCGGCCCCAGCATTGTTCACAGGAAATGCTTCTAAGTTTAAGAAGACTAATTATGTTCTGGAACATTTTTTGTTCCCTGAGTTGCTGGCTGAGATTAGGACTTGGTATTACGTCTTGTTTGTTTTAGTAATTAATGATTGAAGTGTACGATGCACCTAAGATTGAATTTTATTGTATATTTTTAGTAATTATCGTTTTTACAATTTCTAATTCTACATTGTTTCCACCATTTCAAAATCATCGAGTTGTTCATCTCTCAATTTGTTGTTTTAGTTGAATAACCTTAATATTTATCTAAATGAAAAATCTATGAGCACGGAGAGGTTGTATCAACTATTACCCAAACTTTTGAATAAGCCTATATTGAAACATACTATAATTGTAATGTGAAAAAGCGTCTGACGGTGAAAGTGATTCGCTGAAGAAATGCGTTATAATGAGCGCCTCTTTCTTAAAGTTTTAGGTTCACTACATTTCCTTGATACTAACCACCAATTAAATAACACTTGAGTAACTGCATAGTTCAATTTAATTACCGATTTAGACAGACTACAAGTTGTACTGCACCCATTAGATGCAGGTAACCTCTTAAGATAAGAGTGTATAGCGTAATCTATTAATAGTAACACTATAATCGCTAAACGATCCTGCCCACAACTCCACTCTCGTCGCTCTATAATTATCATTATTGTCTCATGTCCTGGGAGGAAACCAGCTTGCTCACCGTTTAGTTGAATGTGATTAATTTGGGAGAGCCTGTAATACACATGTATTGTCAACTGTGTAGGAGTATGCCCTATTATATTGTATAGTATTAGTCCAGGTTAATAGTGGGGCTGGAAGCCATGATGATGTGTTGCCATGGTTACAAGGTGCTAAATATAACTCAAGTCAGTAATCATGTTTCAGAATCAATTTTCATGACAGAACTGCACCATGAAACTGTCAGTGCGATAACATCGCTCAATTATTCTCGACAAGATTGTGGGGAATATTCAAATGACGGGGGCGGATCATCTCCTTTTATGGTCAAATCTGCTGTGGCAGTTAATGAGAGCTGATAAAGCAATTTCCTCTATATCCTTGATACTGCGATCTACTAGTCACGTGGTGTGACCACCTGCTCTGGTCTCATCGAATGGCTACAGTTAATTGTTATCAGGTGATTCTCACGCGGTTGTCACATGTTTCTTTAATGCGAGCCAGCAAATCGAGGCGATCTTTTTTCGCCTTATATGGCATTATATCGATCTGAAGACCGTCTTTCCCGAGAATTCTGCGTGGCGCGCACCACGTGACTTGAAGGAGTGGTCACGTGACTTAAAGTAGTGGTCACGTGGGTGGGTCGTGGCCAGTAGTTAGCCGGGAGGAGTCTACAACGCGTACAGCGTTAAAAAGAGCCACCACTCGACTATTTACCTTGATCTCAAGTATTTCGCTTATCTGTTACTTTTCCAAACAATCAACATGGATGATGATGTAGCTGCCCTGGTTGTGGACAATGGGTCCGGAATGGTAAAGGCCGGCTTTGCCGGAGATGACGCTCCCCGAGCTGTCTTCCCTTCCATCGTTGGACGTCCCCGTCATCAGGGTGTCATGGTCGGCATGGGACAGAAGGACTCCTACGTAGGAGACGAAGCCCAGAGCAAGAGAGGTATCCTCACCCTGAAATACCCCATCGAGCATGGAATCGTCACCAACTGGGATGATATGGAGAAGGTTTGTCAGTTACTTCAATGTGTCATGGTTCCTACTTTTGAAACTCAACTGACGCGTTAAGCAGGCAGGAATATCAGGAGACTAACATTTCGAATCTCCATGTTATAATAATTATTAATTTTATCAGCTGTTTTCAACACCTGTCAACCCTCAAGTCAGCTTTCATTATCACTGTTTCAACAGTCAACACTGTTCAACACCGTTTCAACATAATACTTTAACATCTGTCACTCTCTCAGATCTGGCATCACACCTTCTACAACGAGCTGAGAGTTGCTCCCGAGGAACACCCCGTCCTTCTGACCGAGGCTCCCCTCAACCCTAAGGCCAACAGAGAGAAGATGACCCAGATCATGTTCGAGACTTTCAATACCCCTGCCATGTACGTTGCTATCCAGGCTGTCCTGTCTCTGTACGCTTCTGGCCGAACAACTGGTATCGTCATGGATTCAGGAGATGGTGTCTCTCACACAGTCCCAATCTATGAAGGTGAGTCCAAAGTTGTTCATAATAATTTGCTGATGTGATTTTTATGGTGATATTTTTCTAGTTTGACTCTACTCCAATCTGATACATGATCCCCTTTCGTCTTTGTCAATTCTTACAAAATATGTCCATTGATCTATCGTCTAAAAACTAAACCCTCAGGTTATGCCCTCCCCCACTTCTTACAAAATATGTCCATTGATCTATCGTCTAAAAACTAAACCCTCAGGTTATGCCCTCCCCCACTTCTTACAAAATATGTCCATTGATCTATCGTCTAAAAACTAAACCCTCAGGTTATGCCCTCCCCCACTTCTTACAAAATATGTCCATTGATCTATCGTCTAAAAACTAAACCCTCAGGTTATGCCCTCCCCCACGCCATCCTCCGTCTGGATCTGGCTGGACGTGATCTGACTGACTACCTCATGAAGATCCTGACAGAGAGAGGGTATGCTTTCACCACCACTGCCGAGAGGGAAATCGTCCGAGATGTCAAGGTACGTTTTTATCCTGAGTTCTTGCCGTTTGTTTTTATCATACTTTACACAATTAGATTACAGCATGTAAAATAATCTTGTCTATATAAAGCTGAACTTATTCTTAATTCCTATACTTTAAAGCAACCATCACTACTAAAACCATCTCATATTTTCAGGAGAAACTGTGCTACGTTGCTCTTGATTTTGAACAGGAAATGCAGACCGCTGCAGGCTCCAGCTCACTCGAGAAGTCCTACGAGCTCCCTGACGGACAGGTCATCACCATCGGAAACGAGAGGTTCAGGTGCCCTGAGACCCTCTTCCAGCCTTCATTCATCGGTTAGACCATATTCTACATTCTTGTTAAGGAAAAAGCTGTTCAATTCACAGTAAAATGAATCTCATCGCTCTTTTTGATTAGCTGTAATTCCGTGATGTTAATGGGACTTATAGTTCATTGTGGGTATCTTACTTTTAATTTAATTAATTGACTAAATTCCCCTTCTTCTCAGGTATGGAATCTGCTGGAATCCACGAGACTTGCTACAATTCTATCATGAAATGCGATGTTGACATCAGGAAGGATCTGTACGCCAACACTGTCCTCTCCGGAGGTACCACCATGTTCCCTGGTATCGCTGACAGGATGCAGAAGGAGATCACCGCCTTGGCTCCACCCACCATGAAGATCAAGATCATTGCTCCTCCAGAGAGGAAATACTCTGTCTGGATCGGAGGATCCATCCTTGCTTCTCTGTCTACCTTCCAACAGATGTGGATCTCCAAGCAGGAATACGACGAATCCGGCCCCAGCATTGTTCACAGGAAATGCTTCTAAGTTTGAGAGACTGATTATGTTCTGGAACATTCTTTGTTCCCTGAGTTGCTGGCTGAGATTAGGACTTGGTAATACGTCTTGTCTGTTTTAGTAATTAATGATTGGAAGTGTACGATGTACCTATGATTGAATTATGTTGTATATTTTTAATAATTATCGTTTTTACAATTTCTAATACCACCTTGTTTGCACCATTTCAAAATCATTAAGTTATTGGTTATACTTTTCTCGAATTGTTGTTTCAGTTGGATAACTTGAATCTGTCTAAATTTTAAAAACAACTTTCGTGACATGAATATTTGGGGAGATGAAACGGAGCAACGATCACTATAAATCGGCGATCAAGGAATAGAACGGGTATCACCCTGGAACAGCTCTCACTAAAATTTACTTAGTAAATCGTACTCTCCCAAATTTTAGTACAAATAAAACCAACTCAAATTCATTGTTAATAAAATTTAAAGAGCTGAAATTAATGGAACTTTTTCGTTAATTCTGCCAAAATTTCCGGATTTTCAGAAACCTCCCCCTGTCAGGATTTTTCCGAAATTCCGAAACCAGCCCCCTCACTATTTGCCGGACTTCCTAAGTAGATGGAGCCTAAAGGATCATATTTCTAAAACTTATCATGTCGTAACCTCATTCAACAAAATAAGGAATGCGTTACAGTAATTCTCAAGCCATTGCATGCCGACAAAATTATTTCTGTTGAGGTAATTTCTTTTTGGACACAACGGTGTTTGACTGAAATTTGTATTACTCTCATTTTAAAGTTACCATTGGCATTATCTTGAAATTTAATACAACCTGGGTAAGTAAAGATATTAAGTTCGATAAATTTTTCGAACAGTTGCAGTAATCGCTTCTCCGATTGTTTGGGCATCTGTACTGTATAGTACTGGGATTCTGGACCACCACTTCTCACTTTCGTACGAATTTTTTTTCGTTTAGATGAAGATTATTATCCAGTAAATGTACTGAAATCCTATTGCCTCTATTCATGATGTTTAGATTGAATTTATGACACGTGATCCCTTATTTAAGGAACGTGCACATAATTATATTACCGTATTACGTCAGCAACCGAGGTGGAGGGGGTTTAGAAATGCCAAGTGGGATTTAATTTGGGCAGTGCTGATGTCAGCAAGAAAATCCTGAATTTTGACCAAATTTTCAAAGTTTTCAACCTTATGTTATGGGGGTGATTCGGAATCAGCGTCCGAAAATACATCGATTCTAGTTGGTTTCAACTAGATCGAGATTGAGTGTAGAGTGATTTAGCACGCTCGTTCAGAGGTACATATCCCTAGAATTAACAGTTTTGCTTTCGCCTTTATTATCCCTCACAGTCAGAGTAACGCAATTTATAAAAAAGTTGTTATCAATCAGGACACCGAAGAAGAATGGTTATTTTTTGTTATAGAAGTTAGGAGATTTGTTCCTGTTTTTGCTCCTGTTCGTTTCTGAATCATAATTAAACCAACCCTAACCTTTGATTCTCCCCATACCATAGCTAATTGAGAAACACAATGCATTTGTATTTGCAATTCATCGTTGGATTGTTTCTGGCTTACATCATGAAGAAGATCTTCTTGACTAAAAAAGAAAAAGAAATTCCTGGAATGGAACCTAGTTCAAAAGACATGGGAAATTTAGAGGACTTGGGTCAAGCAGGGAGTTTACATCAATTTTTAGTTCGATTGCATGGAAAGTATGGAAAAATTACATCTTTCTGGTTTGGGACCCAGAAAGTTGTATCCATTTCATCTCCAGAGATGTTCAAAGAACAGCAAAGTGTATTTGACCGCCCACCAATACTTTTTAAATTCTTTGAACCACTCATTGGCCCAAATTCGTTGCAGTATACAAACAAGGATGCTGGGAAGGCCAAAAGGAGGGAGTATGATCGTTCAATGTCACATAAAGCCATCACTCGTTACTTGGGGGAGTTCAATGCAGTTATCAATGAAATTATGGATATGCTTTGTAAAGATATGGAAAGAGGTGTTACAGAGCATGCACTCTGTACCCATATGGCTACATTCGCACTGAAGGCTGATCTGATGACATTATTTGGCTATGTATCAGATGATTCAAAGATCACTGAATTTCAAAATAATTACAACATTTACTGGTCGGCAATGGAGGCTAGCTTGGGAGGAAAATGTCCAGAACCAGGCAGCAAGGAAGAGGAGGACCTCCAGACAGCATTGAAGGGGGCAAAAGATTTTGTAAAAGGAGTTGTTGAAATCAGGCAGAAGCTGGAGATAAGAGAGGAAAACGAGAGGTTTATTGATATCTTGATCAGACACTCTGCAGATGAAGAAACTCTTCTGGATGATGCAGTAACATATGTTGTCGGGGGATTCCATACCACCGCTAATTATTTGATTTGGGGCATCTATTTCTTAGCTGGTAATAGTGCTGTACAAGATAGACTTCACGTGGAAATACTGGAACATTGTGAAAAGGATGAATCTATAAGCATGTCCACCATCTCCAAATGTGTGTATTTGAAGCAGGTGTCTGATGAGACGCTCCGGTGCTCTGTGCTGGCTCCATTTGCAGCTCGATATCTTGATGAGGATATACTACTTGGAGGTTACCCTATTCCTGGCAGAACTCCAATCGTCCATGCTCTGGGTGTTAGCCTTCATAATCCTGAATACTTTCCCGAGCCTAGCAAATTTGATCCAGACAGATTTAGTCCGGAAAACATTAAAAACAGGCCAAAAACAGCTTTTCAGCCGTTTGGTGTTGGCAAGAGGATCTGCCCCGCTAATAGATTTGCAAATATGGAGGCAGCAGTTTGCATTGCAGCGATGGTGAGGAAGTTTGAGATCGGTCTGGTTGATGGGCAAAAGATAGAGGCTGTACATGGACTGGTGACTCATCCCTCAACAGAGATTATGATCACTCTTAAACATCGCCATTAGAATTTAATCAGAGGGATCAACGAATATTAAAACATCATAATTTGGTAACTGATTATTTTCCTGTGATTTGACTTTGAGTGGACACAAAAAACTTTACAATACTCTTTTTTTCATGTCATGTTGTAAGAATACATGTCATATTGTAAGAATAAATATTTGGTATTCTAAAATTTATATTAGATTAGCACAGAATATCATTCTAAATCTGGTATGATTTAACCATTGGTATTATTAACAATTTTCAATCACATGGTTTACATAGCGCATTGACTAAAATATCGTGAAAGACTATTCCAACGTGCTAATTTTTTAATGATAATTAAAATCAAAAGTTATTTTTCAGATTTGTAGTGAAATGCTTTCATACAGTTTAATTTTTTAGGCATAACAATATATTAAATTGTTTAGCATAATATTAATATTACATATCCCTGGTGACTTTGTAAATTTTATGAAGCATGATCGTATGATTTAGATTGATATATCAATATACTATATATATATATAGTAAACTTTCAATTTAACGATTAACGATTAAGGCTAATTTGTATAGAATCCCGAATTCCATCGATAAATCAATTTATTGAAAATGTAATCCCTGAAATATTAATAAGTATAACAATTTTATAAGGATGTTAATGGAGGATGGTAAATCAAGGATTCACTCTTTGTTGAAATCATTTAACCATTAATTGTAAATTTATCTTAAGAGTTAAGACTGAACATGTTATTGTACCATGTGATTTATGATCATATTTAAAAGTCATGATCTTCCTGTCAAAATACACTTTTTTATTCGTTTCTTGCATAAAATTAAATATCCGTAATATTTCATTCAAACTATCCTTCAAAAATAAAACAAGATATTTAATTTTAGCACATTTTACAGAATATGACAATGAAAATATAATGCTTATTTGGTGTATGACTTTAAGTCCTTGACTGCGAATAGTATTTCGATCGAGGATCGTCCAAAGTAAAAGTAGGCTCATAGTAATTGGGTTGTGAAAGGACAGGCAACTTATGTGCGGGCCTGAAAGCTTTTGAACACACCGAAACGCTAGTCCAGAATTGGATAATTAGCCACGGATGGATAAAAATATTTTTTCAAGTTGTATCATAATCCCCCTGTCATTACCGAAGAAGATACCACTGAGGTTAGCACCAAGAATGCAGAACTATCAACTACTGGCCCTCCGTACAAGAAAAAAATTACTTATTCTAAATAGATCTAGAAGGGGACCTCAAGCAATGGACTAAAAAGATAAATAAATAAAGAAATAAATAAAGAAATCACTGAAAAAACACATGCTGAATCACTGTCTCACGACTAATTGTCTCTCTATCTGATTGACCGGACGGCCCTGGTTCTTCCTTTGGAGCTGAGTCGCGTCTGACTCGCTAGAACTATCTATTTGGATAGTGTCCAGAATCTCTCCCGTGGTTTCTTCGACCTGAAAAGATGTAAGTTATCTTAATTACAGGCTCGTACGCATTGTTATGCAAACACTAAAACAGGAGAAAGAGACCGTCGCGCTATTAGATACAACGACACTACAGCGCTGCTTGAGTCCCCGGAGGACAGTCACTGGAGAACACCTGAGATGAGACGTGCACAACAATGCATTCAAAGAAACGACCGAAGAGGCACTCTGCTAGCACAATTGATTGACAGTCTGAATCTTACTGTAGCCAATCAAGGAAAGAACCCGACCTTCCTGAATAGCAGGGGTCATAAAAGCATCATTGACATTTCATTGACAAATAAAAAGGGGAGCAACCTCATATCAAACTGGAACGTCTCCACGAAGTGCTCCCTCTCCGACCACAAAATGATATCGTTCAATGTGGACCTCGGCAATAGATGGGAATCCTTCACCCGGAACATGAAAGAACTCGACCCCGAACAGTACAAGAAAGCAGTAGAAAAACGCATGAAAGCGAAACCCTACATATGGAGAAAGAATAAAACCGACAAGGCAGTCAACTACATAAATCAGATTCTCATGGAGGCCCTGGAAGAATCTTGCCCTATGGTCAAAATAGTCCACAAGTCTAAAATCCCGTGGTCAAAAGAACTAAATGTACTTAAGCACACAACAAAAAAAGCGAAAAACAAGTCCATCTCTGCCCACTCTAAAAAATCGATCTCTACCCCTGAGGAGAAGAATGCCAAGTCAGCCGAATGGACTGCGGCCGAGAAAGCTTATAATAAGGCGATTAAGGACAAGGACAGAGAAGCGTACCGTGAGTACTGCTCCAACATTTCTCACTCTAAAAACCTTGCCAAAACCACCAAAAAGAAGACACAGCCCTGGGAGCAACTGAATGTACTGCAGAAGGCAGATGGAAGCTTCACAGAGGACTCCGAAGAAACGCTAAATGTACTAGCAGCCGTACACTTTCAATCTGACTCCAACTCAGAGCGAATAAATCCAAAGTCTGAACCATTTGACTCAGAAAACGACAGAGCAACAATCAATGATATATTCCACAAATCAAGAATGGACAGGGTTATCAGAACTATACCACTAAACAAAGCCCCGGGAATGGACAGCATTGCTAACACAATGATCAAATCAGCCTGGGAACTGATCCAAGAACCACTTCAACACATCTTCAAAAGCTGTATGATATATTCCCACTGCCCAACGTGCTGGAAAACCTGCTGTGGCATAATTATTCCTAAAGATGGGAAAGACGACTACTCTAACCCGAGAGCGTTCAGAATCATCAGCCTGACCTCAAATATCCAGAAACTCATGGAGAGAATTATTCTCGACTACTTGGAACGAAAAACGAGAGTGGACAATAAACTAACCAAAAACCAATTTGGCTTTAGGAAAAAGAAAAGCACAGAGGCAGCTATCCACAGACTAACAAGAAAGATAGAAGACGCAATCCAGAATGGCCACTACGGCCTAGGCGTATTCCTTGACGTTGAAGGAGCCTTCGATAATATCAAATTCAGCTCTATCTACAACGCTCTGATAAAGGCTAAAATACCCCCCATGATCGCGTGTTGGATCAGAGAGATGTTGACGGACCGCTCGATCATTCTCACCCTACACGGCATAACCATTACCAAGAAAATCTATAAAGGATGTCCACAAGGCGGAATCCTATCTCCACTTTTATGGAACCTAACTCTCAATACCCTTCTAACAAAGGACCAACTTGACGACGACTTCATCCAAGCCTTTGCAGACGACTTGGCTATCCTAATCCAAGGTTTCGATCTATCTGTAACCATGAGGGACATAGCTACCAGATACCTCAAAATTATCAACAAATGGTGCATTGATAATGGAGTGAAACTCAGCACAATCAAAACAAAAGTCATTATCTTCTCAGCTCTCAAAAAGAAACATACAATGAAACCCGTCCTTCTGGATGGAGAGAAGCTGGAATTCTCAGACGAGGTAAAATACCTAGGTGTCACTTTCGACAAGCATCTTAGATGGGACTCACACATCAAATCAAAATGCCAGCTGGCAACCAAACTTCTCCACATGTGCAAAAACCATATATCCAAGACTCGGGGCTTATCACCAAGCAAAACCAGATGGATCTACAGGCAGGTTGTTCTCCCAACCGTCAGCTACTCTTGTTTCGTCTGGATCCACAGACTCAGTGAAAATGCAAACCTACGGAACTTACTAAACTCCGTACAGAAAATAGCAACACTGTACATCACTGGCGGTCTCCAGAAATCACCTAACATCACCCTAGACATCCTATCCGGCTTAATGCCTATAGACGTGTTTCTAAAATTCAAAGCCTCAAAAACTTCTATCAGAGGAGTTGATTAAGGAGTTCAACTATGATCAACAGGAAGATGTGGAAGGCTGTGTTGCACGCTGGTCCGATCAGTTAGAAAAAGACCTGCATATGGACTACCGTGAAATTGACTACGAAAGTCGTGAAAAGATCAAGACTAAGGATAAAACGACTCTGTCTCGCTGGATTGTGGATGCAGTGGACCTTGTTCGTCGGCAGAGTAGTCAGATGTATCTCTTGAAGGAGATCATCGAGTGCTTCAAGACGGAAGCACTAGCAGACAAAGAAAAGGTGATCAGACTGCAGGGCCAGCTGCTGATGCAGAAGGACGAACAACTACAGTTGCTTAAGACGTCTGTTGAGGAGACAGTCCAAACAACGGTGGAGTCAGGGATTCAGAACTATAGTGCAGCTGTTCAACAGAACAGTGCAAGTGGTACGGTCTGCAACAGTAAAATCCTGAAGAAGGTGATGAAGAGTGTAGCAGAGGAGGACAGGAGCAAGAACCTGATCGTGTTTGGGCTGAAAGAAGAGGAGGAAGAACAGCTTCCAGCGCTAGTTACCGCAGTTTTGGAGGAGATCGGGGAGAAACCTCACTTCGAAGCGACTAGAGTCGGTTGGAAGAGGCCAGGTAGTACGGCTATCCGACCAGTCAAGATCACCGTCCCAAGCTCAACAGCGGTTCATCAGATTCTGATGAAAACAGGGAGACTGAGGGAGACGCACAAAGATGTATGGATATGTCCAGACAGATCCAGTGAAGAACGAGCAACAAGGAAGCATCTGGTCACTGACCTGAAGAAGAAGAGGGCGGAACAGACTCATCTCGACCACTACATCCGGTACGGGAAGGTATGTAGCCGTGATAAGAAGTCATCATGAGTTACACTCTCGGACACTGATCAGTATATGAAGGAGTGATGATTATTTTAAGAATTTTCAGACGTTATCTGTATTTAAGAGACAACTATATATTTTGAATATTTTATTATTTGATTGTTTCACACTTATCATATTTCATAATTTTATTACTAGGTGGAGGTGATGTTATTGAGACTTTGGGCGGCCATAAAACTCCTGTTTTGAAAGTTGTCCTCTGTACTTGTTTCACTGACCCACGCTTTATAGCATTTATACATTTCGGCCCATTTTATATGTTTGTTCGACTTGCTGTACATTTGTATATTTGCTATTTTGTAAAAGTTTCAAATCAAATCAAATCAGACTTAAAATTGAAAATAATTGGATCAGCCAATACTCACTGACTAGTAAAGTTATCTCCCATGCTAAATACCTAGACAAAGAGATCGATAAACTAGGACTATCTAGCAAATTATCCCTCCTAGACCGCACAACTCGTACCAATTTTAACACAGACTACACTGTCTCACTAGAATATCCACAGGTAACACCCCCTGACTCGACCCTAAAAGTGTACACTGATGGGTCTCTACAGACGAACACACAGTTGGCTGGAGCTGGCTTCACAATCAATAGAAACAACAGAACAATAATTGATCAATCGATAAACCTTGGGATAAATGCGACCATAAATCAGAGTGAGATGTTTGCTATCCAGAGAGCAGCAGCCTTACTGTATGACGCAAACACCAAGAACCAGGTAATAAACTTCTACTCAGATTCTCTAAGTTCACTCCATCAACTAAAGATGGGGCACTCCACTTCAAAATTGACCATGGATACTTCCGTAACTCTTAACAAACTTTCTGAACTAAACCAAGTAACACTCTACAAAGTCGCTGCCCATACATGTGGGTCCACTTCTCTCCTTGCTATAAGCCTTACAATAATTCCATACCTTGTTGGCTATTTTCCAGCTGTCTACCTGTATTGGCAAGTTGCCAGCTCAAGTGGTCACAAACGGCACTTGCCAGCCAAAAGCAATGGCGTGAACCCACTTAGAGGTCATGACGATAATTAAAGAATCCCACTTATATGATTTGTGACACCAGAAGTGAACAAGCTTTGGCTGAATAACATTGCGGGTATTTGTAATAGATTGTGAAGTAATGAAATAACGGTCTATGATGCGATAATTAAAGTACCGGAAACGGTGCAATAATGGAGTAATGGATAAACGGAAAACCCTGATTGGTTGATCTCGTTTGTCCAGCTCATGCTCATTTAAGATAATCGTTTCCTGGAGCCCAGCCCGTTCGACCCCCCAATCAGGAACTCGAAACTCATCTCGTGGATCACACGTGTCGGCCCAATGACCAACACGAGTGATACCCTTTTTAAACCCTGGGCACACCCTTAATTCCCCACTTCTTGACTTCCTGACTGCATCCCAAAGACATAGTAAAACCTATCATCGTTCCTAATTGTTAATACATTGATACATTAATACATTGATACATTGATACATTGATACATTTATACATTGATACATTGATACATTGATACAACCAACCCGATTTCAAGTCGTATTATTTGGTCAACTCACTCTAACTAAAACACAACGCAACCTACAAGTTCCATTGTGGGAACAGACAGATAGTCTGTTGGAACTAAAGTCCTGAACCTAATCAACCTATCTCAAACCTAGACGATCAACCACCTCTCTCTTCATAACCCACAAGTGGCGCTGCGACTGCGAACCAAATTGGGAACTACAGGTTAGAGAATAGAGCTATACTGGTGACCACTTTTG